TCGGTGACTGGTGACCATTAGCGTTCATCCGTCCATTCATCCCTATACTGTGTGAAGAAGAAAAAAAAGCGTATTGGACGGTTATCTGGCAGAAAACAACGCAAACAAAAAAAAGATTTTCTATAGTTCCTTTATTAGATTATTATGCAAACATGAGATTGGTAATACGTCTTATTCCTCTAAGGTTTAGATATTTTTTGTTTTCTTCCTCAGAGCCAAATCGATCCGAGTCGATAGCGCACAGGTAGTTGTCGTCGCGATGCGGTTGTTCTTTACCAAATTCTTCCATGATCATAGCTTCCTCGATGTTCTCTCAACAAAATGATCCACGTTCACGTTAGAGTATTTCTATCTTATCAGATCCACCTCTATCACCTGTACTCTCGTTGATCGTCGAATGCCTTGAGCGAGCGGGCCCGCCACAGCAGTTTCCATTTAGTTCGCCGTGTCGTCGTGTGCCGGAGTTGTTTCCCAATGGATATCGCTCCCTTGATCGGTAGATTAGAGATAAATGGTTACGAGGGGAGGGGGGGGGAGGTATAGCAAAAGTACTGTATAGTAAAATTAGCATATTCATGACGATGTGCATTGATTTAGATTAGAGATGGACGAAGATGAAGTAGCTTTTTCACTTTTAACAAACTTATTCCGCAAGTTGTGAACTCTACTAACTAAAGTGGTACCAGCAGGATTTACAGATGATTGTCGAAAAGGCAGAAATTTACTTATTATGCCACCCTCCCATAGTTCGAGTTTTTCTTAAACCCTACAGTGGTTTTTTCTCACGTTGTGCTTTTGGAGAACAAAGAAGTTGTACACGTGCAATCGCATCTGACAGAACACGAAGGCGTCCTGAAATGCCTTCTTGATGTTTTTTTTTGAATGCTTCTTTTTTGAAGTTTTTTCTATTACGCTAATTCGTTCCATTTTTAGTTCTAACAAAAAGGAGGGAGAGTAATCCATAAAACTACACATCCCCCGAAAACCAGATAGGTCAAAAGGTCTTCGATGAATCAGTAATATTCTAGCGCAGTTCGCAAATAATCTAGTTATTGAACAAATATCGGCAGTTGTTGAGAAATCAGCACTATCGTAAATATGTTGGAGTAAAACAAGCACATAAAATCGGTTAAGCATAAAGTGTAATCTTCATAGTGAGTGTGTAGTTGCACACTTCCATAGAAACAGGTCTTTGCCTAGTCGATAACATAACTTAATTTTCAAGACAAAAAAAGAAAGAGAAAAAAAGAGGACGAACTAACTGGCCAATCCATCTTAAGCTCATCACAGTAAGCAATAAAGAACTGAGTGCTTTGAACAGATCCCATTGAACGAAATGCAGTTTTGCACCTGTACATAATCCTCATGTGTCATTCTGAATAATAGTCACACTGTATGATTTAGTCACTTTTCTTTTTATCTTTTTAATTCTAAACACAATCACTGAGTTTAGTGTATGTGAAATTAAAGAGAAAAATTTTTAAAAAAGCATTGTCCGTTCCTCGAATTTCTTGTGGATCGGTTAACTCGTCCAGCTGCTGTACAGTGGGCGGGGTTATCATCGAAGAAGGATTTCAGGAGCGGTTTTCGTTCATCCCTTATTGCGGCTATTTATTGGAAACTTGTTCTGCAGAATATATCGGGCATTTTGTATTTCGAGTTGTCTATTTCGTTCGAGAATAAGATTTATGAGCTTAATTTGGTGCCTAAGAATTTTATGGTGGTGTTGTATAGTTGTTTTCTTTTCATTGTTATTTTCGTGCAGGTTATACAGCGTTGTTATCGAACAGTGGAATTTTCGTTTTGAAAGCTTCTATTTGTTTTGTGTAAAAGATAATGGAAAATGTGGAATCTCAGCGTTGTATTGCCTTTTCCTCATCATTGTTATTATTATCACTATTATTATAGTCTTGGCATATAAAGGGTAAAGCGTTCGGCATTAATCAAACTCTTAGGAATGTGACATCCATTCAACTCTGCTTAGCATCGGAGAACTTGTGGAATGCTTTTTTTGTGCCATACAATGAGTTCCTTGTCACTTATCTTTTTCCTGGTCATCCTTTACACAATGAATTACGGTGAGCTACTGGTGTATCATGGTGACTTTGTTACCGTTCTAGACAAGTGTTGTACCAATCTGAGGAACACGGAGGTTTAGAAAGCTTGCTTAGTGCATGGGACGGTATCGAATCAACGAACACATTAGTATTGAAGGGCACCTCTAAACATTGAGATCCACTCACCAATTTATTATTATTCATTATTGACATTATCTTTATTGTATTAGCGCTATCTATTGCTATTTATCGCCACTACTAACAGTCATTAGCAGCACTGGCTCGATACATCGGTAGGCCACCGCGAATCATTGTAAATGCCAGATATGCATTCGATCACCTCCAACGATACTTGATGAAGTCGAATGCGTGGCACATCCCTCAGGGATTGATCAACGCCGACAGCTTTTTTTAGCTTTTACTAACAGTCATTGTTGTGTCTTTCTGAAATCCATATTTGGTTGAAATGTATGAATAGATTACCCATTTGCTCCATGTTTTGACTTCGAGTACAGTTCGGTGAGCTCTTTTTTCTCAAAGGGGTTTTCATTTCCTAGATAAACAATGGGCGCGTGTGGCGCAGTGGTCGGAGGTGCCGTGCAACACACACGTGGAATCGGTCCTTACGCCGTGGCCCACCAAGCCTTCCATCCATCCGGGGTCGGCGAATTGCTACCAGACTTGTCTGGGAGGATAGCAGCACTGGCTCGCTACATCGGTAAGCCACCGCGAGTGTAAAGGCCAAGATATGCGTTCAACCACCTCGAAACGATGCTTAATGAAATCGAATGCATGGTCCATCCCTCAGGGATCAACTCCGAGAGCTTTAGAGAGAGAGAGAGAGAGAGAGAGAAAGAGAGGGAGAGGGAGGGAGGGAGGGAGAAAGAGAGCTTTTAGATAAACAACACAAAGGTTTGAACAGATTTACTCAATTAGAAGCAGATCTTCCATTGAAATATGTACTAACTGTGTACGATAATAAATAGGCCAAGTAAATCTATCCTTGGTACAAACTATAGAGTAACTTCTTCACAATTGTACTGCAGTTGTTTTTAAATTTTCGTATTTTATATATTTGAATAATATTTCGGTTTTGTCAATGATGTCGTGTCTACTGAGGAAAAGATACATGAAATTTCTAAGAATCACTGTTCTCTTCTTCTGAATACACTTTTACTTATGCGTCCTCTTTTAGCGCTATCATTTTCCATCTAGGTATAAGTGAACTTCTTCATGCTAATCATGGTTGCTATGATATGAGCCAAATGAATGCATAATTATCAACTTGTCTTCTTTTCTTATCTTTTTCTGATTTTATATTTGTCGCAGTGCTACTGTAGACAGTTTTCTTCAAAAAAGACATCACTAATGTTAATACTTAGATGATCAATCCTCACATGTCTTATTGGCCACCGCAGTTCCCGTATTTGTTTCGTTGTATTGAAACTGTCGTCTTCAGAAAGTGGTTGACATGGGTTCAGCTACGGTTGAAAATTAGCTGTATCATCCCTTCATTAACCCATAAGATCTCAAGATAGCCGTGTCACGGTATTTCCAGGTTTGCACCACAGCTATTCGCGTTTTGAGGTTTGTTGCTTTGTGACTGCTAGAATTTTTCCACCAGTTACCTATTACATTGATTCTTGAAACAAGTCGAACTATCAGAACAATAGTGCGTCAAATCCAGAATCACCTGTGTCAGTTTTATTAGTTTATCACTAATTTCATTAATCAGAGAGTGACTCGAGCGGGAACCAATAGAGTCCATTTGTCTCTGTTTCACAGCAGAGCCGCTTAGCGGGTTCCACTTGCTTGAGCGACACGACGAGCATTACACTTCTGCTATAACGCCTTTTTTACTGGGGTTTTTTTGCGAGGTTGTAGCCATGGATGGCATGCTTCGTTCTGCCATGACATAAGTTTACTCATACTAGGTTCTCTTGAAAACTTCGAATTTTTGTGCCTGAAAGGTGCAGAAGGTGAATTCCCATCGTTCATCGCAGCTCGACGTCCATGAAATCCGTCTTCTATTGAGCAGAAGGGAAATTTTGCGATACGCCTCGATACCTAATTAGTTTTACTACTTTTCTAGTAGCATTTTGGGTTCGCGCTCATTCTGAATAAGTTATAGAAGAATAAGTTACGGCTACAATTGCTTCTCTAAACCAAATAAAACTATTTCCACAATGTCTTTTATTTATTTCTAAATGAATTTCGAGTGATCATTAGTGACTCCACCTTCGCAACGTAATTCGGTGAAGTGCGAGTTTGTGCGCGCCTGATTATCGCCCTTAAGAGGCTATATTTTTCTCACCAATGAAGACGTGGGGAGGCTAATTCTTCATCGCATAGTGACGGTGATCTTGTATGTGATATTTTACAGCACAGATCAGTTCATCGAACGATCGCATCATAATGAAAAATGATGAAGTATTTCAGATGATTCAACAAATTAGTGAGCAGTCGAATCGTTTTCACAGCTATTGTCTGACCAATCCAGCTGTGTTGTCTTTGGTCAGCCAGCCACCACACATTTTATCAATTTCTTCGTTTGATGGCGTAATTGTAGTTGATATAGGATAGCAAAAATAGCTGAACATCTGAAAAAAAAAGTCTTTTACCGACTTAGTACCTTATAGTAACAGTTCAAGTGGAAAAAACAAAGCGCACCACGAAGACGCCCCAGTGGGCAAAGAGATGTGCGCAGCTGTTCTCACCACACGCGCATTTAACTTGTGCACCCTTCCGTCCATCGTTGTTCGCATCGTGTTTTTGCTTGTGAACGTTTCATTGTCTTTAAATCTTTCGATAAATGATTCTTTATCACACACGCTACAGTTTCTACTATGAAATTCGCTCAGTATTTTAGTCATATAATTACTTTTATTGATATGATCAGGTCCTATCTCGTGAAGTCGACGAGATCAATTGTTCATCATCACCATGGGTCATAACCCCGGTGCACTTGATGAAATCGACCTTAACACACTAAGGGTTTGTTTTTAACGTGTTTGCGTTATCGTATCAATATCCTAAATCTATCTTAATGTTTAAGGATCCTGCAGGAATTTTTGAACTGATTGAAGTCGTCGGTAATGGAACATATGGGCAGGTCTACAAGGCATGTGTTCTTCTTTTTCTGTTTCATCGCTCTATGTATTTCTCATCACCATAGTTTTTATTATGGAAAAACATTATTCATCCCTTTTTAAACTAATGAATGAATTAATGAACTATACTTTAGTTTATACCCATTTTGAATAAAATCTTTTAGGGTCGTCATGTTAAGACTGCTCAGCTTGCTGCTATTAAAATCATGAACATCAACGAGGATGAAGAGGAAGAGATTAAACTTGAAATAAATATGCTAAAGAAGGTATGTTCACTAACCGATTCTGTTTTTCTTTTCTTTTTCTTCTTCTTTGATAGGTATTACTTTCATTTTAAATTTTAGTTTGAAACATAATACATGGAATTTTGTGCTTTTGAGAGATTCTGTGCCTCTCAAAATTTCATTAACCGTTTTGAAAACATCACTAGAAATGGGTTTCCTTTTGTAGAAATATCACTCATATTCCCACGCTTGTTCGGAATTCTAAATTCGCTTTTATTATTCGTCTGCGCTAGTTGAAAAAGTAAAGGATTCCATTGAAATTAACTGCGAAGACTCTAGCGCATGTGTTTCTCGTGGGTAGACTGATTTTGTATTCAACATTTCCATGCTAACAGTTTACTTTGTTTGCTATTCGGGTTTGTGTTTGTCAAGAAAGGGAGCTTGGCGTCAACTTGAACAATTTGGGAGGAAATTCATTTGAAGGTTTAGTTCATAGTATTCTGTTATGTGCACATTTGTGCGATGCTCTCATCTTTTGTTCACTTGCAGTGATACTGCAATGAAATTAAATTTTCTTTCCGACTATTTCTTCGTCCATGGGTTGATAAAGTGAGCTGTGGCATTGTTACTTCCTTAAATCCTCTGTGTTAAGGTGAAATTCTACACTTTTAGTACTCTTACCACCGCAATATTGCTACCTACTACGGCGCTTTCATCAAAAAACTCCCGTCGTCGACAGGCAAGCATGATCAATTATGGCTAGTCATGGAATTTTGTGGAAGTGGATCTGTAACAGATCTTGTGAAAAGTAGCAAAGCTTCTTCAATTAAAGAAGACTGGATAGCCTATATATGCAGAGAAATTCTTAGGGTTCGTTTGTTATCATTTTTTATGTATTCTTTCATACATCAGGATGTGATATTTGCAATACTTGTAGCCCCATAGTATAACTTTCATGCCGAACATATTTTTTTAAACGAAAACTAGGTTGTCACTCCTCAACTCCTCGGCTTGGTCTTTCTCTACTTTGTCTGCTAAGGTCTGTTATTTCAGGGACTTTATCACCTACATCAAAATAAAGTCATTCATCGGGACATAAAGGGACAAAATGTACTTCTTACGGATAGTGCTGAGGTGAAATTGGTGGATTTTGGTGTTTCGGCTCAGCTTGATAAGACGGTTGGGAGGAGAAATACATTTATAGGAACTCCATATTGGTACTTTTTTAAAACTATTTTTACTTTGTTTTAAACCATCGTTTTCGAAGACTACCACCGTCCTCTCAAATTTTTGTAGTACATCCTTGAATACTTGAATAGGCCGTATTTATAATGAATTTAATGAGCCCTAGTAAAGTTTTCATTTGCTATGCTTTGCTAATTTGGCAAGACATCCTTTATCGCGGTCCTAAGATAATCTAATTAGAGTGTATCCTGATCGTCGCCACCAACAGTCATCAACTGTTGTGGATGGTTTGGCTCCTTCTCGGCAAGGTTGTTACGACTACAGCGTTTGTCCATGTTTTCCTTGTTCCTTCTCAATTTGGGAGCACATCTTGAGGTGATGAACCTCCGCTTCAAATCAAAGTTCTACACCCAGGAACGGCTCGAGCCGCGATGTTAGACAGTTTGTCGGGGTTTTTCTGACAATAAATCTACAATGTTTCATGATATTTCTGTTTTTTAAGGTACAACATTGTTTTAAGGATGGCTCCAGAGGTAATTGCATGTGATGAAAATCCAGAGGCAACGTATGACTCGCGATCTGATTTGTGGTCACTCGGTGAGTAATCTAGGTTTTCATATACGCTTAACAGTGTTTTAGGTGAGTTTAATTTTATAAGATGTTCTTTAAATCTCATCCAATGTTATAAGGTATTCATACGATGGCATAACTTTAACGATTATATATATGCTACAGGTATAACATCGCTGGAAATGGCGGAAGGGCATCCTCCTCTTTGCGATATGCATCCCATGCGTGCGCTTTTCCTAATTCCTCGAAATCCTCCTCCACGATTGAAACGAACGAAAAAGTGGACAAAAAAGTTTGAATCTTTCATTGGTGAGCTACTACTAGCAAACATTTCATTTGCACTAGCCTTTCAATAAATGCCGTTGTTGTTTACAAAATGCGTGAGTAGTCTTAGTTCTATTAACTAAGAAAATTCGAAATGCATGAAGAACTTTGAGGGCTTTCAAGATGTGTGGTGAGCGCGAGGAAGAGTTCAGAGCCTTTTTTTTCATACTCACAACGCTGTCTATCGTTAACGTCCACCTGCCATTAACCTTTACAAAATGTAGTGCGATGCATTCTATACCGTTTAGTATTTAAGCCTAGTGTTGTTTTTTGATCATTTTACAACAGACTGTACTTGATGTGAGACTAGCATATATTTATTTACTTGGATACTTGGATGGCTCGTCCTCACCGCTTGTGCGAGCCCCAGAATAATCTCCATTTTTTTCGGAGATTTGCTGCTTTACCCATTGTAGTTTCCTTGGAGTTCTGAGGATAGGCTGGCCAAAGTCTGCCCCAAGTCTTCATCACCACAGGTAGTCGCAGCCCTTGTGGATCAGAGAGAGATTTGCCACCATACAACTAGTTTGATACCAGGACGGTGGTGGATCCTCGTAGTGGTTTACTCTTAGCTGGGCTCCTTGACGAAAACACCGGACTCTTTCTGAGCTAGGGAGGCTCTGCTGGGAGGATGAATCCCCAGCTATACATCGCAACCCGACACTCAAGAACACCCAGCCACGATGGGGCTAGAAACCGTTGGGAGGGATATTATTGACGGTAAATAGTCGCCAACAAAATTCCCCATGTTTGGAAATATGTTGTGCTAGCAACGGGCAAATCTTAATAAGAGATTACTACTTCGGAGTACCGACTTTCTGTTAACCTCTACTTTGATCAATAAGTTCATGTGTTCTTCATAAGCAGACACGAGATTGGTAGTACAATATCTAATTCACACTAGTCAAAGTTTTGGCGTTTTACCACCTTCAAGGGTTGGAAATATATTGATACGCGAGCTACTTATCTAATCAATTTTAAAGAAGCTGTTTACCATGCGATTGAAACCTAGGTTTTGAGTTTTCCCGTTAAAGTTTTGCCGATACTTGGCTGCGTAAGATGTGAAAATTGAAATAGAGGAAACAGGCGTCTTGTGTCGATGTGATCCATTCCAGACTCTGAGACTCTGAAAAAGGCGAAATCTGTCTGCGGAAACGTAAGCTATTATGAAATATTACCATTGATATTTGTATGGCGTGGTAAAACTGCACCTTAACTATGTAGTTTTAGATAAAGGATTTGCTTAAATAATGGTATTAGTGAGATTTCTGAAGCGGTGCATACAGTTGCAAAGCCTGTTCCCTCTGATGGGTGATTACTGATGGCATTGATCGATAGAAAAATAGCTGAGAGGCGAAACGAAGGACCCGCATAGTGTGGTGGTGAACGCGTTAGCCCCCGGAAAGGGCAACAGTGCGTTCGTTACCCACCGCAGACACCTGCAGTTCGGTGTTTTGCAAACATCTCAGCATCATTAAGTCTGTTTCCTCTATTTCAACTTTTCCTCATGCGTTCTATGCGACCGGTTTATTGCTTTTTTGCTGTCTCATGGTTCTGTGACTTTTAATTTTTGTCTACTGCACATTACTACTCATTACATGATGTTTTTCTCGTATTGGTAACAGTCATCTTCTACATTGTATACTCGCATTTAATTATTTTTAGCCTTAGTTTTTGCAGAAACTGTGCTTGTGAAAGATTATCAGCAACGGCCGTATACGGATCAACTCCTGCGGCATCCGTTCATTAGGGATCAACCACCAGAAAGAAGTATTCGCATCGCAATAAAGGACCACATAGATAGGCATCGTCGTATCAATAAAAAAGGTTTTCTTTCCCATTGTCGTCAAAGAATTTAATAATGCTGAGTTCTTTTTTTTTTAGCGAGAGAATGTTTTGAAAGAAACTAGTGCTATATAGTTTTCCAGTATACTTTCAAATTGTTTTTTAAGTGAAAGAGACTATGAGTAGGAAGGAAAATAGTGAATCACTTTAGATCATTTAGATGAGACTGAGTATGAATATTCTGGTAGTGACGATGATGAGCCAAACCTTTCTAAGCAGCTCCAAACTCATCGTGATGGTTCGTTTTTGAGCGTGTTTTCATTACCTACTTCCTTGTCTTGTTATATTAAAACGTTTATTAGTACTAATTTGAGAGAAGGCTATCCGATATCTGTGTTTTCTACATGTTAGCATAGTTTTAGTAACAAACAGAAGGATCAAGTAAAGTTGATTTCGCAGGATGAGTCTCCATTGCTTTCCTCTTCATGGTTTCTGGCTTAGGTTTTTAATAATTTCAATTTTACCTAGATTCTGAAGCGGCATCCATGATCCCAGTTGACAACACTCTCCGAAAAGGATTCCAACGGATCCAGGAGGCAAGTCGAGGGGCTTTTGAACATGCGGGAGCTCAGCAGCTCAAGAGGATAGTACCAAATCACGACCGACCTCCAACTGCTAGTCCACATCATCATGCATACAGGTGGTTAACCAGAATTCGAACACAATCCATCGTGAATGTGGACTTCAAGTACCACATCTTATTGTTTATCTTATAGCAGGTGAGCAATTTTTGCAGATATGGCGCTGATGGCCGCAGCCGTGAAGAAGCTGTCAAAATGCGTGCGCAAGCCGCAGTAACTCGTCCCTTAGGAGGCAGTGATGTTCGCAGAGATTCCGAGAGAAGGCAGAGACCTGTCAGCCATCATCAGGTATTGATAACGTGGGGTTGTTGCTGTGATTTTAAGTTTTGTACCTAATTTTCTTTGATTAGCGATCGCCACAACAGTCACATCCAGCGGCTCCTCACCTTGCGGACCTCGCTAACTACGATCGTCGACGTCAGTCAGAACGTGATGAGCGCAGGGAAAGAGACAGAAGTGTTAACAAAGATCGCATAGGTATTCTTTAATGCAATCTAATCGCATTATCTTTGAAATTTGTGGTAGCAACAGGTGTTCGCTTTATTCTTAGGACACCGTGGTGCTATGCCCGTTGCTCGCGTTTCTGCTAATGTCACCGCCACTCCGTTACGTAAGTTAAGTGAACCGGTGCTGCATCCGCAACAGTCTAGACCTGAGGTGCGGGTGGTTTTGCGTTTGCTTAGCATAAGTTTCAGCCGGAACTGAGAATTATGGAAACTTTCTGGAAAAACAGCGTTCAGAAATGTTCTTCTGTAATCTGATTCCGCCGAACCTTATCTAAATTTCGACAACATTTTTTGGTCCTAACTTGTACTGTCGGTTTGGTTTTAGGATTTGGATGCATTAGCATGTGAGTTATCACGAATGGGCGGTTCTCCTGGTAATGGTGATGGTATGTCACCTCCCCCTCCTGCTCCACCTCCACGTGATACGTCAATAGCAAGTGTGACTGATGCTGATGATGTAAGTAGTATTGTCCAGATAACCGTTTGATTCATATTTTCCTGGTGTATAATGCTGCAGACAATAGTAAATTTGAGAAGGTTACTGAGTTAACCTGCCATAGTTTAGGCCTAGTGATTCGCCCGACGATTTTGATCAATTCAATTTTATCTAAGTGGGAGCTTGCTGCGGAAAAGCTGTAGTATTATGTCATTTCCTATATGCTTTTTCAAAAATCTCGTTGTAATATCTGGTCCTCTGAAGTGATTTTTGTTATTGTTGACTTTCCAATTTCACTTGAGGTAGTCCTCTAAGACCCTCCGTTTAGATTTGTTCTTTGTTCGGTGACACTAATTATTTCTTATTACAGTACCTATATTAAAATATTCATGATTCTGTTAGGATTCTATCGGAGGAACACTTCGGGGTCCAAATAAGCCATTACCTCCAACACCAACGGGAAGTTCTCCTCTAACTGATATGTGTGATGAAGATACCCTTCTGCAGTCAAAGAGGCCCAATGACGTTATACCACGACCAAGCATGGTGAAAGCAGCAAGCATGCCAGATGTAAGTTGTTTTTTCTTATTTATGAGTTCGACACTGTTTGCTTTGCAAGAGATTCTTTTGTTTATAGGGATAGAAAGACGCCATAGTTTTGGTTTCCCTTAGTCTAATTCATCATACGTATTTTTGTACATAAGTCAAAATATTCCCTCCTCACTTTTGAATTCGGTTACGTATAATATTAAGGCCTTTTTAGCAGCTTTCTTTTTTATTTAAGTCGGCTAATATTTTCAAAAAAAATCCTTTTTAAGCGGGTTTAATGGAGATGTGGGACTAAGTAGACGTATAGCGGGGTCGCACTTTCATGCAGTAACTTCTTATGAATGGGATTTTTTCAAGGAGAAATCGAATTGTTGTGCTACCATTTTCTCTATATCGGTTATTTTCAGCAAGCATCCACAACTACTTCTCCTGAATTTGGATTAGGAGAAAGCTCATCTGACACCGATGATGATGTGCAAGAGCTTCGAGCGTCAGTGCGTCGACCGTCGGGGCCAAATCCGCTTCTACCAGTTGTTAGTCTTGCATTTTATTTTATCTCTCTGGTTATGATAAATCTCAGACACGTGTAAGGCGCAGTGTTTAAAAGTACCTTAGAATACATACGTGTTCATTGTTTTCGATCCTGTATCCTAGTCTAACCAGGCCTTCCATGTCTCCGAAGTCGGCAAATTGGTACCAAAGTTGTCTGAGAATATTGGAACACTGATATAATGATACGATGGTAAGCTACCACAACTCAATGTATTGGCCAAATTTGCATTCACTCAGTTCTAATGATGTTTGGTGAAGTCGATTGCATGGCGCATCCTCCAAGGCATGGTCAACGTCAAGAGCCCTATATCTTCATATTTTATCGTTCCTTTAAGAAATTTCACTCTGTAATGAGCTTCGGATGGACAAATCGTCTTTGTTTATGACAATATATTCGTTTCATTTTTTAAACCGTTAGATTAGCGTTGATGCTGCAGTGGTAAAAGTTTGGTTGCTGTGAAAATAATGGAGAAAACAACAACGACCACGAATTGTTGCCTTTAGTAAGACTAATTTAATATGAAAGAGTTGAAGCGTTGAAATACCGTTTATAATTTTTCGCAAAATGATTTCGAACTATATTGTAGATTGATATGTCATATTTTCATTTTTTAACACAAAAAGCAGCAAACATTTCTGCGTAGGTGTCATCGTCACGCGGCAGTGGCTCTCTTGCACTACCAGATTTGCTACCGAAAACTCGTGAAACAGGCCGGTTTGACGAACAACGGGCATGTGAGGACTCTGTAGAAGAAGTAAGTGGTTTGTTGTTTTTCTACTCGATCTCTGTTATCTGAACTTACCGCATATTTATCTACCATATGATGACGCGGTGCAACAGTTCTGCCAGTAAGGAAAATTTATTCAATCATGACATATTCTACCTTATTTCTTTCTTTAACCAGTATTTGTAGGAATTCTGCCTTCAGCATGATATAGTTTACAGCTTTCTGGGAATGCCAATGCTTGCGCGAACGGATCGAAGATTTCAATGCATCAGCAACCGCTTTCTTCGAGAGATCGCGAGAAATCGTTCGTGGGGTTTTTTGGAACTGGAGCTTTGGTAGGCGCAGCAACTGTAAATCGTCCCGGTAGAGCACAGGATGCTAGTCAGATCCAGGTTTTTTTTTCCAAAGCTCAGTTTTCTAGGCTTTATCCAGAGCAGTTTCAGACGTATTACTGCGGGTGAATAGAACGTTTTTTCTTCAATTTGCAGATATGTGGTCCATCGAGTGCCATTTAGTTCTTAGTGCATTCTTTTAAAGTATCTGATCGTCGGTAGCATTGCTTCTTATTTATTTGTTTTAACTCCTGAATAATTTTGAAGAATGCCAAACAAAAGCGTTTTTATTACGAAACTTCCTGGCGTTTTTTTCCTGGGTAAAAAAATTTTTTCTAAAGTTTCGTACTGGTTCTAATTTTTTTGGTAAAATTGAAGCTCGTTGGAGCCAGATGTTTGCAAAAACCACATTTTGCTTTATTTGCTTTTTCAAAACTTAGTTATAATTGGAATTTTTTCAGGTGAATGTCAATCCTAGTTCTCAGAATGGAGCACATCCCGATTCTGATGCACCGGAAATTCGAAAGTACAAGAAGAAGTTCAGTGGAGAAATCTTATGCGCGGCTTTATGGGGTGTGAATTTGCTTATCGGAACTGATGGAGGACTTATGTTGTTGGATCGAAGTGGCCAAGGAAAAGGTTTGCAAGACTTTTCGTGTTGATTAGAACAGTGGAAGGTGTTTGAAACGGTATACCTTAAACAAATAATCTACTTTTCGTTATATAGCGAAAGTCCGCTTATGATGTAAAGGTGCGATTGCAACCTGAAGGAAGATATGTGAGTGCAGAATGTAGAATATCATGTGTATGAAACTGTGTGTTTCAGTTTATCAGCTCATAAGTCGGCGACGCTTCGAACAGATGACAGTGTTAGAGGGTCAAAATATACTGATCACAATATCTGGGAGGAAGCGAAGAATTAGAGTTTACTATTTAAGCTGGTTGAAACAGAAAATTCTGAGAACTGAGGTTACTAGATTGCTCATTTGTAAGAGATTTGAATACGAAAATGATGCTCAGGCGAAAGTTTTATGATTTTCCAGGGCTCCACTTCTGGTCTGCCAACAGAGAAACGTAATGGATGGGTTAACGTTGGTGATCTTCAAGGCGCTATTCATTTCAAAATTGTTCGCTATGAGCGGATCAAATTCTTGGTAGTCGGCTTGGAGAATAGTATTGAAATATATGCGTGGGCTCCAAAACCGTACCACAAGTTTATGAGTTTTAAGGTATGTGTACATCCTGTAAACATCAGCAATTCGAAAAGATGTTATCCTTCCTACCTAGATGTTTTCGTTTTTTCTTCATGACTACTTCCCATAAAATTTTGAAAAATAACACATTGGGTAATAAATATAAATATTCCACTTTTTTAGTCTTTCGGATCCTTATCTCATCTACCGCTCATTGTTGACTTAACTGTGGAAGAAAACACTCGATTGAAAGTGCTATATGGATCTCATGAAGGATTTCATGCTATTGACCTCGATTCGGCTGCCATATACGATATCTATACCCCTCCTAATGTACGGTTATGTTATTAGTTTTGTTAGTAGAGTATTTTTCGAATGATTACTGGACCAAATACCGTGTAACATTCTTAATTTTATTGGTCTGGTTTAAGCCTCAGCAGAACATGGTTCCTCACTGCATCGTAGTCTTACCAAACAGCAATGGCATGCAGTTGCTTCTATGCTATGACAGTATGTTTCATTTCCGTATTTGAGTTGCTGTGGAACTCGTTGTGACTTTTCATATAATTACGCCACACGTGTAGACTAAAGTCAATCATTAATGTGTTAATTATAGTTATGACGACATATGTTTGTACAGTAATTGCTGCATTGCAGATGAAGGTGTCTATGTGAATACTTATGGAAAAATGTCTAAAAATGTGGTATTGCAATGGGGTGAAATGCCAAGCAGCGTCGGTGGGTTTTAATAATGGTTTCTTTTTGTTGTTTTGTGGTATTCGTTTTGTTGATCGCCGACTGATTTGATTCATTTAGCCTATATATCAACTGGACAAATTATGGGTTGGGGAAATAAGGCTATCGAAATCCGTTCTGTCGATACGGGTCATTTGGACGGTGTTTTCATGCACAAGAAAGCGCAGAAGCTCAAGTTTCTGTGTGAACGTAACGACAAGGTAAGTAGTTAAAATACTAGTGCCTCCTACTTTTCGAAGTTGCATTGTCTTAGAGAAGAAAGCTATGCATGTTACTCATTCTGAGGAAGGAGCTTGCCGGGTTTAGCTGTGTTGTAGAAGGTGAAGCAAAATACGTTTTTATAAGGAATTTAAATTCATATTCTATAAATCCTGTCCTGTATGAAGAATTTCTGTATGTATAAGACCCGTTCACTTGTTCTTCACTCGTTATTGGACTAATTGACAACTATTTAGGTATTTTTCTCGTCTGCAAAAGGCGGTGGTTCTTGCCAAATTTATTTTATGACCCTGAACAAGCCGGGTTTGTCGAACTGGTAGATGCTTTCGCTTTTTTCTATCCGTAATCTTTCGCCGTATTCTCCATTTGTACATAATATCACCATTGCTCACACTACACTGCTGTATCACGCGTTGCTTTATGGTTCGTAATTCGCATGTTTGACCTTTTGATTCACTTCGTAGCCAAGCTATGCAAATGTGAAACTATATGTGAAATTGTAGGTGTCTATGTGTATATGATTCATCGGTGCGGAAATTGTTTCATGTGGATCATATTTGAAACGAATAATTAATTACAAAGTGGTTTCACGTCTTGAATTCTTAATAAATGTTTTTTTTTCTAATTTCACAATCATTGCTAGTCCTTCCACGTTCACAATAGACATTATTATATACATATTGGTGCTACAACTATATCTATCGTTTCACACTGAGTTTTGTGTATTCTCTTGTTATTGATACTGGAATACTAGAAGTAGTTTCTGTTATTTGAGATGAAAGTCACGCGATGAAACATATGAAGAGCGATTATATGAGGTTACGAAGAAAAACAATGAAATATGTCAGTCTGCAGTTTATCGTTGTTTTAAAGTACCTAAAGAACGAAACAGGTGTATGGAGGAGGTTTAGCTGTTGTTTCTAAAGAGTTTCTGCTTCCGCGGTGCCTAACATGAATGTGTATAACTTACTTATTGATGAGATAAAACGTTAATTTTGAGACGAAGAACTAATACTGAGGTGTCTATTGTGTATAATACAATCTGTATGCATTCAAATCACTCTGAGCGATTGAATGGAACTGTTTTGGGCTAGCCAGTGATAACATGCACTACATTTCGTTTCGTTAACTGAGCACAATTAACAAGTCTTGCTTCTGTCTAGTAGTCCTGAGGTTTTTTCACTACTAGGCACAATAGGGTCGCGTATGGCGCAGTGGTCTGTGAAGCCCTGCAATACACATGCGTTCGATCCTGCGCCCAGATTCACTAGGCTTTTTATCATTCCGAGGTCGACAAATTGGTACCAGACTTGCCCGGAAGGATAGGAGCATTGACTCGACACATCGGTAGGCCGAAGCGAGTCATCATATAGGTCAGATATGCATTCAGTCACGTCTAACGATGCTCAATGAAGTCGAATGCATGGCGCATCCTTAAGGGATTGATCGACGCTGAGAACGTTTTGTAGTGCTTTGTGCACAATAATGCAAGAGCAGGTATTGACTGGCAGTGCCAATAGCTGGCTAATGAAATTCCTCATAGGTGTAGCAAAACTAGAAGGACTGCAGAGACGCAAAAGCTTATTAGTGAGGATGTGGTTTTTTTCTTACTATTAATGAGTTGGGAGTAGCGTTGTTCTATTTTTTGTAGATGTCTTTGCTGCGAGCGTTCAACCGTAAATAAGCGAAGCATATTGGTCACAGTTGGTAGCGACCTCGCCGTTTCGTCTTATAGAATTTGTTGTCATTAATCCTTTTTCGGAAAGAACAATGTCAAATCTCTCAAATAAATTAAAACCGTTAAATAAAGGGTCACACGGTTAAGCATGTTGTGGTAAGGTACATCGTATGATTTCTGTGTTCCAACATCCAACGATAAGTGGATTATGAAACTATAACTTTCCACACATGGACCAGGCGGACTGGATGAACTGAGACAACATCGCTTTAATCATTTACCTTTGTCGATCCTCACCTTTTGGGTGCATGTAGAGCAGTGGTTAGGGGTGTCCTACAATACCTACGCGGTCATTTGTTCGATCCCGCATCCTTTTCATCTCTCTGAGCTCGGCAAATTAGTAACAGACTTGTCTGGGAGGATAGCATCACTAATTCGATGCATCTTTAGACTACCACGAGTCATTGTGAAGGCCAGCTATGCAAATATGCATCCAATCACCTCCAGTAATGTTCAGTGAAGTCGAATGCATGTTGCATTCCTCAGGGATTGACAACGCTGACAGCTTTATTCACTCGTCTTTTCTAAATCGTTTTTTGGGCTGTAACAGATGTGTAAACGTTCCACGGTTGAAATCGTGAACGACACATAACGCGTGGTATTAAGGAATATGAAATGTCCTCTATATTAGTTTCAATGATGCTGGGATATTTGCAAAACTCCGGACCGCAGGTGCCTGCGGTGGGGAACGAACGTGTCCTTTCCGGGGAGTTACGCGTTCACCACCACACCATGCGGATCTTTCGTTTCGCTTGTCTCCCAGCTAGTTCTATCGATCTTTTGCAATAGGAAGTAAATAATAAGTTAAAATTGTGATTATAACTGCAGCCTCAGGTTAACTGAGTTCGTGGCCGATTTGGGCTCCCCAGATCAATCCCATTGACGGGTGATTGCTGATGACAAGTGAACGACAAAACTAGCTGAGAGACAGGCGAAACGAAGGACCCGCATGGTTTAGTGGTGAACGCGATACTCCCCGGAAAGGACAATAGCGCGTTCGTTCCCCACCGCAAACACGTGCGGTCCGGAGTTTTGCAAAGATTTCAGCATCGTTAAATGCTATATTTTGCAATATACCCTGCCGTTAAAAAGAATAGGCAGTAAATAATACGTTAAAATTGCGATTATATCTATATTAGTGTTTATTCATGTGCAGATGAAAAAATGAAGATGAATATTGAGCGAAATACATTCTTGGATTGTTAAGTTTCCGCGAGGTTGTTATATAAGTTTTATTCGACGTTTCGAAAACCTCGTCTTCAGTGAACCATCGACTCGGATATCGGCTCTGATGAAGCTGAAGGCGTCGAAACGTTTGCCCAATAGAACTTGTATAACAATCTCGTGTAAGCTTAACAATCCAAGAAAGCATTAATTGTTACTACCGAGATTAAATGACGGTCGATTCGAAAATCAAGCAAAATTTCGCTTTATCGCCATTCTGCAATGTAGCTCCTCATTCCGATTTCACCGTCACGAGTTACGTACCGTATACAGCGGCAGTTAGAGGTGCCCCACCCACACGATACATATGTGATGGGCACATATAAGAGGTCTCGAACATAAATTTAGGAAATAAAAGGGGAAAAAATACTAGCATACTAACGATCCGGTCGGCGACGGTTTTTGCCTAAGGGGCAATTTGCGATGTTCTCAGTTGATTGCTGCTACCGACCGACCGACCGACTGACTGACTGACACTGCCTAGCCAACGCCAACGCCTGACGACATCATTGATCGTCGGCAATTTGCTGCTGTGCCGTTAACAGCGGCTATCCACGTTCTATTGGAAAATCGACTCGAAAAACGAAAGAAATCCGGAATTTCAGCTGCTTTCTATTGATCCACGCTTTTCCTTAGTATCTGATGTCCACTTCTGAAATATAATTCCCTCGTTTTCTTTTTTATCGACACATGTTCCTCGTGTTAAAGAACCCTTTGCGAAGCTTGTTTCACAGCAGCTTTGTGGCAAATTGTTCTTCACTCTCAATTTTTATCTCGCTTCTTTCGTTTGTTAATAACTAATAAATAATTGCTAGAATACAAATATGTGTACATATCCAATAAAATGGCAATATATCCACCTATGGTCCCGTATATTATCAGGTGGCTTGAGTTGCTACTAAGTAAACTCTCCCATCTACTCATGTAGCACGTTAAAACTATCCAATAGGGTTCACTTACTTAAGAAACATGCGCGAATAATCAAATTTTGAATAGAAGACCCTTCGTTTTATGGTTTTTGATAAAAGAATGTTCACTGGGAAGTTTTTCGGATGTGGTCAAAGATGGCTTATTGCGCTCGCGCCTGTCGTAAACGTGATATTTATCGCACCATAGGCGATTTCAAACACCCACAGGTGATTTATTATACGTTATACTTGTGACTATCCAGTTTTTGGACAGAAAGTGTTCATAGGCGCGTAATACTATAAACCCACTGGCAAATACGTTTGAGTCTTCTTTTTCCTTTCTTTCTTAACTGCTAGAGAGTTTTAAAAAACATGGTGATTCGGCCGACATTTTCTTCGTTTTGGTCGTGGGCACAATTTGTCAGAGAATTCTCATGTGGCATAGATTTAGTCTTATCTAGGCTTATGGATATAAGTACTCAAGATTCATCGATGTACATTGTGGTTCGACACGCCGAACACTCCAACGAGGATTTACACTTCTGGGGAGTGTTTTATATATCCGTATACTTTTAAATACATACAAATACAGTGATTTCGCGAGTCATATATGTCTCGACTTAAACAAAATATATTACTGTCTCCAAGAGAGGTTTTTTTTCATTCGTTTATCTTTTTACAAGTTTACATGATTCAGATACAATTTTGTGACCAGTGTTTGCTCAGTTATCGAGAACATGTGTGGCCATTAATTATCCCTCATATACCTCACCGCCCCTCCTGCATAATTACTAGAGAATTAATTATATATGTTGGTTGTCGTAGTGTATCGATTATTACATTAAGCTCAGCAAAGCTTCTGAACAGATTGAATTCTTCTTCTGCTACCATTTTTTAACTAACTTTTGTTATCTTCCAATCAAAATCTGCTGAAGTTCATCCGTTGATTTATCCCTGGTTTCGACACCAATGTAAGAAATCTTAGTCCTCTCTACTCACTGGCATTTTGAATGCTCGTCTAGTTATGGAATCCATAGAATCTTGATGTATACATGTAAAGGCATTTCTATTTCTCCATCATGAGTAGTTGCTGGCGTTTCAGAGGATAGGACAGTGATTTACTGCCTTGCGACGTGGATTCTTCGAGCGCGGCAGGCAGAGATTCGTACGATTAGTCGACCGACACGATCGACGACAATGTTGCATTCTTAATTCATCTAGATATTGATTAGTTCATACCATTTGTTTAATTTGGTTCTTAATTTCATTACTCGTTAGAAACGCATTGAAAACTGTGACCGCTCACTGTTAACTGGTGTCCGTTCGGTATCTTAGCAGATTTGCTAAATTTTATCCTTCCTCCTTGGATTTGTTTTCCGGACGTAAAACAGTCGCCTTCTGTCTTTCTTAATCCATGACAGATTCATCCTGTGCTTTTCTAGTGAATAAC